CTGCCATGGGGTATATTTATGAGGCAATGGACAAGGCAAAGGAACAAATCCAAAAGAATTTTCGTAATGTGAAGAAGCACTATGAGCCCATATGGACTATTGTTGACACTAGATGGAACATGCAATTACACAGACCTCTTCATGCAGCTGCCTATTATCTCAATCCCGCGTAAGACTTAATTTTCTCAATTTTTATATCATTTTATATCTATATATTGTATGCTAATCAATGATCATTGTAAATCAAAATAATTATTTCAGGTTTCATTACACCGGTAGTGCGGACTATGAGATAAAGATGGGACTATATCAGACTATTCAGAGAATGTGTCCAAGTCCTATTATGAGAGAAAAAGTTGATAAACAATTAGATATCTTTCATAATGCTGATTTGATGTTTGGAATGGACATGGCAATCCAAATGAGGAAGAAGAAACAACCTGGTTAGTGGTAACTTAACTTAAGTTGGTTATTTGAATGCAACTGCTTAAGTTAGTTAATAGAGTATTCTATTGTAATTTTTTATAGCCTTGTGGTGGGAATCATTTGGAGGATGTTGTCCAGAGTTGCAACAACTTGCTATCCGCGTCCTTAGCTTGACTTGTAGTGCCACTGGATGTGAGAGGAATTGGAGTACATTTGACCAGGTGCACTCTAAGAGGAGAAATCGATTAGAGCAACAAAGATTAAGTGCACTTGTGTTTGTGAAGTACAATCTTCGATTGGAGGCAAGACACCAAAAGAGAATACTAGAGGGTGATTCCTATGATCCTATTTCTCTCTCAGATATGGAATCTGATGATGAGTGGATCACTGAAAAAGAAGATGCACTCCTTCCTGAGGACACTACTTGGATGAATGTTGGTGAATGTTTTGAGGTTCAAGAAGGGACTAGCAAAAAGAGAAAGAGAGGTAATTAAAATGTAGTGGTTGTTTTTTCTTCTTCTCCATTACTTTGAATTTTATTTTTTTTATATTTTGTATTGGTTGCTTTGTAGGGCCTAGAAATCTTACTTTAAGCAAGAAAAAAGGAAAGCAAATAGTTCAACTTGAAGATGAGGATGAGGATGAGGATGAGGATGAGGATGAACAAATACAAGAAGTTGAAGATGATAAAGGAAGTGAAGACTTGTTGGCATCCGATCACAATGATGATGATGATGATGCATTTTCAATTGAAATTGAAGATTGAGTTCAAAATGGATGTTAGAAATTTGGATTAGAAGTCTCTTTGGTGTTTAAAGTTTGAATTAGTGAACTATGGTTGTGAACTTTGCATTATAATAGTAGTGGATTATGTTGATAACTTGAATAGTTGGTGGAGTATTAATGAAATGCTATATTTTTTATGAGTGTATGACTTTTTTTCAAAGGTATATATATTTTTTTATTATTTATTTAAAATTGCATCGTATCTTACGATACACGATACGATACACGATACGATACAATATTTGTATCTTACGATACGCCTTCCGATACACGATTTGATAACTATGCTTGTGAATGTATTTTATGCATCTGATTCCCGCAAAAACTTTAATATTGATATGACAATTGAACATTCTTGATAGATACGGATTATGTGGTACAACGTCTTTGTTATCAACTTCTTGCCCCCTCACGATGTACTTTTGACCAGTATTACGACGACGATAGACTGAATATCCATCGCGGTCTATGCTTCTTGATTCCACAAATGCTCGAGAAACTTTCTTGGTGCATACCCCATTTTCAATACGTGGTGCTTGTGGATTTTGAGCGCTACATGGTCCGTGGATCATGCAACTTATGATTGTTTCAAAAAATAATGAGTCAGTTTGATAATCCGGGAATTTAGCACACACTACTTTGTCTACTTGAGCACATGTCTGAATTTTATCCGAACTATGAAGAAACAGAGGTGCATGTGTAGTGGCCCCCTTTTTTTGGAATTCAATTATTAAAACATGCGCCACCTTTCTACCAAAGACTTTGTTTGTTTCCATCTCCTTCACCAAGAAACTTTGTTTCAACTTGAAAACACGGGCCACTAAATCTGGACGGTAAGTAGGAATCTGATTCGGTAATAGTGATTTAGCAATATTAGGTCAGTTGGGATTTGCAGTTATAGTTAGAAAGATATCTGGATGTTGGTTATATTGCGTGATAACCATTGAATCTTGAAAAATTCAAACACATATCTTACACTAATAGTGAATGAAGATGGCAAGACCATTCGTTGACCAACTTGTTTAGGATCAAACTCATATGCACAAACATCTGTAAGACCTTGGTAAAGTTTTACACGAAACTTCAATTGATTCAACTTATAGCATGTCAATCGATTTTGTTCAGTAATGGCCCAAGCATCTACTACAAATTCTTGTAATATTTTTGCAGCTCTCAATATTGTTGAATACTCAATGTCATGTTGGAATATACGATAACTGTAATATTGCAATTGAGTCAGTCGAGTAGATGAAGATTGACCTTGTGAAACGTTCCACTATCTCACATCTGGATTCCATCCTAGATCACCATGACGAAATTATAACACGTAATGCAAAGGTAAATAGGTTGGGTGACACTCATTAATTTGCATCAACTCATTATCCCCTTTCAAATGTAACACAATATCTCTCATTCCACTTGATTCAGTTTCATCTTCCAATAATATTACCGCAATTTCATCTGTTGTTGGGGAGATTATATGAACATCGGTCTATTACAGAACTATAGTGAAGATAGGCTAGTAAATTTTGCCCTGTCAATTCCAATTCACTTAAAATTGTGTGAGCCTGCCAAAATTTTGTGGGAAATAGATTTAATTGCAATAAACAATCTTGAATAGTTTTCAAAATATTCCTTCTCAAGTTAGGATTTCTGTTGGAGCGAACATCTAAAGTTGAATTAGGATAAACAATGTACAATTGAGAGTAAATTAGTTCACACTCTAGTTGTGGTATAAGAGATCCTGTTCGATGACATAATTCTCCATGGATGGTGAATGTTCTAGGCCCCCTCCCAACAATTAATCTTTCATCCAAAGTAGCACCAAGACTCATAAATGCATTAGTTGCATTATACTCTCTAGTATGTTGATGAAACGATTTTGATTGTTCGTCATTGTCGTCATACAATGCATTAAGCAATAAAAAGGGTGCAATAAGTAGAGGTAGCCTAATTTTTCATTGCAAATAATATTTATCAAAGAGAGGATTTGATAAAGATGAATGTGTTAATTTTACAGCAAGCTAGTGCACGGTGGAACAATGAGTATATTTTCGATTCATCAAGCTGGGGAAATGACGATCTAGAATTTCATGTCCCCGAGGATCAAGTGCAACACTCATTGCTACACATTCTTCTACAAAGTATGCACTACATATCAAATTTAGATGTCATACAATTGGCTCGTATAAATTGAATACAAACTTGAAAGAAGAGCATGAATAAGCCTGCAAGAGAGAGAGTAAGGCATTAAAACGTACAATGAACACCCAGATATGACATAACATTGCTTTATAATTGGAGAATATAATATTGCTTATGGTTTAAAATATTTTTGTTACTTAAGAATCAAAATAATTTTTATCACATCGCATAGATATTGGTGTGGGAAGGACACAATGTTTACGAGTGTATGTAGGCATGCATGTTTACCTTTGTATGTTTATCTAGATGCCCTGCACACATGGTTAACGTGTGAAGAGAGAATTAGGCAGTTAAAATGGCTTAAGAAGATCCCTCAAATCCTTTTTTTACCTGGCATTGCAGATTGGAATGTTAAGGTCCTATTGAAAGTGCAATTTTGCACATGGTAAGATTGATACTTATGCTCCAAAGGATGAGGCCTTCCACTTGCTTGTGCCCACAAATGGTTTGTTATGTGTAAATAGTGAAAATGTGGATCATTTATTCCTACATTGTCCCGTTGCAGTATTGTTATGGAATTAATTATTTGAGTTGGTTGGGCTTTGGTGGGCGGCCCCGAGATCTATTTCATCCATGTTTTGTTTGGTTTTCAAAGGATTTTGCTGAGGTGGGAAAGGTGTGACACTATAATATTGCCCTTTATTGCCATTGTTTGGGGTTTATGGATGGAAAGAACCGCGAGGATATTTGAAGATAAAATGGAAGTGATGGAAGGGCTATGGGACTGGGTCTATTTCTCAGCTTCATTTGAGGTTTTCGGTGGCAAAGGATTTTGAGAATGCCACTCTTTTTATGATTACATTGAGCTGGACAACTTCTTGTTGAAGTTAATGGTTGCTTTGGATGATGCTTTGATGTGTACCATATTGCTTTTTGGTCTTGAGTTTGTTTGTCTTTAGGGTTGAACAACTTGTCCAACTTTGCTCGGATGATGTAACCATTTATTTTGATTATTAATAAAAACAGGGTTAAAAAGGAAGTTGAGATTATTTGGGAAGAAAAGAAGGTCAATACTGATATTTCATGGCTTGAGGTATTTAGATATTGTAAGAGTGGAGACCAAACTCCCTTGGTTGGTAATAGTAAAGATGTAAAACATAATTTTGATGAATCCTTTCTTTGTGCACTCAAGTCCCTTCGAATTGGAAAGCAGTATCCAAGTTTTTTTAATGACTTATTTCTGAGGTCCAAAGAATTGTTGGTCTTTTTCAGATTACTAATTTATACCTGGCATGTCCTTGATGAGAGCCATTTATCCCATCAGCTGTCAAGTAGAAAAAGAAGATCAGGATGACTATGGATATATCTACATGTGCAAAGCTTAGGTCTTGGAGACAGGGAGTGTCAAACTATCAGCATGTGAGATGGATTTGACATGGTTATGCCTGCTCCTTAGAAGTGTTTGTACTTCATCGACAAACCCATGTTCTTCCTCAACTTATATCAATTCATTCATGTTATGACTTGTTTGAAATGTTTGAATCTTCTTTAAACCCTTTAAGCATAGATGTTTTTTTTTTGGCAAAAAAAATTAGATAAATTATTCATGCATGTTTCCCACAATCTTGTTTGCATGCTAATAGGAAACATCAGTGCTGCGGAGAAAGCTCTTGGAGCATGCTAATCTTGTAAGATATGCTGAAAATCTTAAAATTGATTTCATAGAGGCTGGCGCATCATTGTCTTCTAATCAACCATTCCAGTCAGATTCATCATCATCGGCATCAAGGCGAGGTCCCTCAAATTGGAGTAAGTTCCTTCTAGCTTGTATCCATGTATTGTTTTTCTTTTTATTTAGTCTCTATTATAATGGGCTCATTGTCGGCTCTGTTCCATGCCATGGTAAACTTGGCCAGCATTTTAAGTATTGGTGAGATTTGCTGGATGGTTTTGGCTGCCTCAAATGAATATGCTATTTGGAAAACGATGTTCTTAATCCTGAAGGTTGCTTGATACGGCTATATCAAAAATGTGATTGATAGTTTTGAACCATTGCCTGATATCATGCTGTAATATCTCTAAACCCTTACAGATTATGTTCATGTTTGGTGGTGGGGCTGCAACTAAGACAGGTTTGTTGGGTTGGAGGTGAACTCAGGCAAGCGCTGAGATATGTCAGCACCTCCGTGAAGCATAAGCAGATCCAGTGCAACCAGAAGTGAACGCCGAACCTTCTTGAGTCTGAGTTGCTTATATGAGATTTAGAGAGAAGACGAACGAGGGGCAGGATCACACCCCTTCATGTGCTTCAAAGGTCAAACCAATACGTTGGAAGACAAAGAAACTGCGACAAAAAATTAAAAAAAAAAATTCCTATGTAGATAAGCCTGATCAAACAACTATTTTTGAATACAATGGAACTTCAGAAAAAAGAACATGAAGAGAATGAATCTGGTGCAATTTTACTCGAAATTGAACACTGGCGTTGTTAGAATTAGTGAAGTACATATTGATCAAACATGAGTAATAGATATTGAAGTGCAGATTGCACACCCACACATTAACAGAGGTAGTAAATGAGAGAGGAAGGGAGGTGTTTAGCTATGAGATTGATTGGTATTGGCTCAAATGAAAAGTATTAGGCTGATAAAATTTTCAGAAATAAATGTTACAGTTTATTCAGCAGAACAACAGATGTTAATGTTTGGCTTTGGTGCTGAAAATTAAAACGTTGAGTAAGAAGATATGGTTTGTCAGAGCTTGATATTATAGAGTTCGGAGAAGAAGAATATTAGGAATCAATCTCCTATTTTGTGGTTGCCATGGCTAGGAATTCAACCTCAAGTTCCGTAGAATTACCACTCTAAGGTAAGGTTTTGCATCAGTCATTAGGCCCACACCTGAGTAAGGTAGAAGATTTCAATGGCAGATATCTTCATCGACTTCATTAAAACAAACCTATTATAACACAACATTAGAAGGCTAAGCTTGGAGACCAAAAAAACTTGGTGGCCAAGTGAACTTGAAGGCTAAGTAACTGTTTGTGGTCAAGGGAGAGCCAAGATTTTGATTACTGCACCAAAAGAACTTAGAAGGTAGAAGATTTCATTAGCGGATATCTGACTTCATCAAAACAAAGCTATTATGACACACTATAGTAGAAGACTAAGCTTGGGAACCACAAGGACTTGGTGGCCAAGTAAACTTGAAGGTTAAGTAACTCTAGTGGCTAAGGAAGACTCAAGATTTTGATTGTTACAGTGTAAACCAACTAAAGTTCATAACTCAGCCATCAACTACTATCAAAGAAGCAAGGACATGAACCTGAAATACAAATACAACACCATATAGACATCGGCAATAGGAAAAGTCGTAGAAATAGTTGGGGATAGACACGTTGAGCATACGACATCAAATATGTATTTTTGTGTTTAATGGTGTTTAATTTACCTATCTATTACTAAATCGGCATAATATATGAAGTAAATTTACTTACTACGTACCAAAAGTAAAGTTTTCTCCCGCTTCAGATCTTCATGAAATGGTGAGTACCCGATTTGATGCTAAGGTTGAAGCTACTTTAGATCTTCATAAAATGATTAGTACAAATTTGATGCCAAGATAAAAATTCTTCGAAGTGATAATGGGATTAAGTGCATTGATGGAAAATTTATTTTTCTACCTCAATGAGAATGATATTTTTTATAAAAATGCTGTGTGAGTGTATCCCTAAAAAAAATAGTGTTGCTGAGCGCAAAAATCGTCATCTTCTTGAGGTTACTCGTTCATTGATGTTTATTATGAATGTTCTTCTATCTTTTTTGGGAGATGTCGTTCTTACTACTAATCTTATTAATCGTCTATCTTCGAGTGTCCTACAGTTTAAATTCCTTATTGAGTGTCTCTTTAGGATTCTTTTTATTCTTTTTAGTTCTTTAATTCCTCTTAAAGTTTTTTGGGTGTGTTTATTTTGTCCATGATTATGGACTATCGAGGGGGAGACCATGACCCCAAGTTGAGGTGTATTTTCATTTGTTATTCTGTCACCCCAAAGGGATATAAATATTATCATCCATCGTCTTAGAAGATGAATGTTAGCATGGGGGTTACCTTTTTTGAATTTGAGTCATATTTCTCTACTTCCTCACCATTTATTCAGAGGGAGAATACCTCTATTGAGGAAGAGATTGTATGTCATAAGCTTATTTTTCTATTTCTTATTCAATGGGATATTAGTATGGGGATCGATAGCATATTGAAGAAAAAAAATGATACCATTGGTTCACCTAGTGCTCGTTTTGACAAGGATAATTTGAAAACTTATTGTTAACCTTAAAAGGTACAATAGATCACCCATGTTATGCCGAGCTAGTTTGAATTTCCCAACTCCAGTTCTACATCGCCCACTGATTTATCAGGTAATGAATCTCTGGCTATTATTCCCTACTATTTGGGTTTTGGAAAATGCTCGTTATGTTAACGTGTAACTTCTGTTATGTAACGAGATCGGTTGGCTCCGCTTTTGTTGCGGACTGAAATAACGGGCAGAGTTAAATTTACACACGTAACGGCATTATCGGGTCGTAATGGGTCTGTAACAGTCGTTATCAGAGTGTAACAGGTTGACTAGTTAAAATTTTGAAAATTTTTGCAAAAATCGTGAGGATTCCCATGGAAAAAACTCAAAAAAATTACAGGTTCCATAAAGACAAATGCCTATATTTTCAATCAAATCTATTAGTTTCGTAAGCAAAATCCTACAAAATACCATAAAATCAATGAAGCTCATCAATGAACATTGGTACCACTCTCTCTCCGGTAGAGGCACTAATCTCTTGCCGGCAACCATTCCTTAAGGTTGGAAAGAAGCTCTCACTGATTATAAGTGGTGAGAAGCTATGGTAGAAGTAATGAAAGCTCTAACGAGGAATGACACTGGGAAGTTGGTGCCTCTTTTTGTTACGGCAAGGGTAGTTGGGTGCAATTGGGTGTTCTCTATTAAACACAAAACTGATGGGGCAATCAATTGCATAAAGCCAAGGCTAATTAAGGGATTCACTCAGACGTATGGTATTGATTATCAAAAGACCTTTGCCCCTATACCAAATATGAACTCCATATGTGCTCTAATATCTTGTGCAACTAATTTGGGTTGGAGTCTGCAATTAGATGTGAAGAATGTCTTTCTTTACGGAGTTTTTGATGAGGTACATATGGAGATTCTATAGGTTTTTTATCCCAGATAACTGAAGAAAAAATTTGTAAGTTAAAAAAAGTGTCTTTATGGACCAAAATAGTCTCTTAGAGCTTGAATTGATAGGTTTGTTAAAACTATGTTGAAATTTAGATATAAGTAAAGTCATGTTGATCATACTTTGTTCATCGGACTAATTGATGGCAAGATAATGGCTTTCATTATATACGTGGATGACGTTGTTATAACTGAGAATGATAAGCATGAAGTCACTAAATTGAAAGCTTTGTTGGCTAAGGAGTTTGAGATCAAAGACTTGGATCCGTTGAAGTACTTTGTTAGGATTGAGGTTGACAGATCAGATAAAATTATTTTTATATTTTATCTTTCAGTGGAAGTATATTCTTGACCTTCTTGGAGAAATATGTATGTTGGTATGTAAACTTGTAGATTCTCCTATTGATGTTAACCATTGATTGAGTGGTGATATTGGTGATGTTGTAGATATAAGGAGAGGTACCAGAGATTAGTGGGGAGATTGATACACCTTTCTCATACTCGGCTAAATATTGCGTATGGAGTTGTGTAGTCAATCACGTATGCATGATCTTTGAATTCCTCATCTTGAAGCTGTCTACCGCATTTTGAGGTTTCTCAAGTTAGTTCTAGGGAAATGGATCTTGTTCTCCAAAAATAATCACTTAAAACTGGAAGCATTTAGTGATGCAGTCTAGTAGGTTCAATGGATAACAAACGATTTACTTCGGGCAAGTTGGTAGTTATGTCTAGTACGGAGGTTGAATGCAAAGTAATTACTCATGGAATTTGTGAGCTTATGTGGTTCCAACTTTTGCTGGGAGAGCTGAGAATTCAGGATTAAGACTGCAATCAACATTGCTCATAATCCAATTCAACATGATCGAACTAAATACGTTGAAATTTATCGAAATTTCAGAAAAAGAAGTTGAACAAGGGTTTAATTTGCATGTCCTTTGTGAAATCAGAAAATTAGTTAGTCGACATCTTCACAAATGGATTTTGTAGCAAGGTTTGTCACCCTATTGTTTGCAATTAGGGCATGTGAGATATCTATGCACCAATTTGAGGGGGTGTATTATGTTTTGTTTTATTTCTAGTTTAAGGGTATATTAGTATATTTTGTTTACATATAAAAGCTGGGTGTAATTGTGTGACACAACACACATAATCTTCTCTTCTTTTCACTTATTCCTCTTCTCCAAAATCCTAATAACCAGTGTTGTGAAAAGCGAGCCTAAGTGAGAAGCGTAGCAAAGTGAGCCTTGGTCGCCTTGAATATTCAAGGCGAAGCGAGGTTAAGTAAAGTAAGGAAAAAGTGAGCTTAGGCGATGAAGCGATGAAGTGAGTTAGGCGAGAAAAATGAACGTCTGACAATAGTTTTTTTATTTTCTCCTGCTCCTCCTCCCCTCCTCCTTTAACATTAATCAACCCTAACAGAGATAATGTTATATGTGTATATGTATAAAATAAATTGATTGATTCATGTAACAGTATCATATGACAATTTGTCTTATTATGATTAGATAATGTTGAATGCTTTGTTTTGATGTGAATGCCCTTGTTAATCAATTTGCGA